GGGTCTACTCACCCTAGGCACCCAATTAGAGTGAAGTCTCATTCCGCGGGGGCCCTGGCCAAACACCCCTTGAAACACCACCTTCACACAGCGTCTCCGCTGCAGAGCATTCTCACCTTGAGCGCGACAAGAAGCGTCTCGTTGGCCAGCAGCCGCCGCTTCAGGGAGGCCTGTAGGCGCGCCGTTCTCTCTGCCCCGACCGACTCCTCCTCCGCCTTGCTCACTACCGTGCACCTGAATTCGAGCCGATTTGGTGTCCAAGGGAAATAGAGGGTTCAAGGTTCGAAAGGCCGGGGGGAGGGAGGGGTAAGGGTCAGGTATACAGAACGCCCCACCACGTACGAACTTCGAGGTTCCGCACTTGAGTCAAGAAAAATCCAAAATCCAAGACCTTGGCCATAAAAGCAGGTGGTCAGTCAAGAAGCCTAGTTACAATAAAACCTATATATTCACAGTGAAGCCCAAACACTAGTCGCTGTGGGGGTTGTACCCGATACAGAAAATATGGCGCGAGTCTCGGCCAAAACAAGAGCTTCCTAAGTGGTGGCGCGCTCGGTTGAGTTGTTCCGCCTCCTCCTCGCCGAAGACGCCCAAATCAATACCGAAGGAGGCGGAGAGATCGCGCCGACTTTCAACGCTCGATTGCTCCGGGCGCAACGGGATGCTCGCCGCACCTGTCGACTTGCACCGAGAAGCTGACGCCCACAACAAATGAGAGGAACCAGGCACATATACACAGCTGCTGCGTGAACGGCGGGGGGCGTAACGGCAGGCGAGCCCTCATCGCACCTGTCTATCTGCACCGAGTAGTCCATGTTCTCCTTGAGGCCGGTCAGCCAATCGTCTCCTGGGAATGTAGCACCGCCCCCGCGATCCGGTCCCTCCTCCTCTTGAAGGCACCTTCCCAAGTGGGAAAACAAAACACTCACGTATTTGGTTGATTGGGTTCGAAGACATGATACGGGTAATTGTGGGGAGGGTCTGTGGTGTGGGTTCGAAGATATAGCACGAAATATTGAAAGACTTGGGTCCTAGTTTGGGATGAAGATAACTTGGAATTGGATTCAAATACGGGGATGTGTTGAGGTTCGAATACACCTTAGGATAAATCAAGATGTGAAATGCTGTTACGGGTCCAAGACATATCAGGGCTAGTTAAGAGTCCGTTCGCAATCAGGGTCCGATACCTTACGGGAAATCCAAGATTTGGGTTGTCGCTAGGATTCCACTCGGACCCAAGTGCGAAGGAATGATGAGCCATGCAAGTAGTGCCGGAACGCCACGGTATAACCGAGATTCGTCTTTACAGCATGCACACGGCGGCCTTGTTGGATAGCGACAGGCGTAAATTCGACAGGCCCATTTTGCTGCATCACTCGGTGATGTAAGCCAAGCAGAACAAACATGCTGTCATGCGTTGTGATACTCTTCGTCGAGATGAGCAACACAGAACGAAGTTTCGCTTGCCTCCATGTTGTCCGTCGACGTATGCAAGACGGCATGGAACACCATATTATTCCCGTGTTTATCGTCCACTCAAGCAGGGCGGAATGAAATCCCGGCTTATTGCCGGGTCATTTCGCCGTAAGACGTAAGACGTAAGACATACAAAACAAATTGCTATTCATCATTGCAGTTGGTTGTTCGTCGGCGTAAGCCTACAGTAGCATGAATACCTACCTCGCTGCGGAGGTATAGGTCTGGTGGTCGAGCATGATGTCCATGGTGACCTTCTGCGCCTTTGCCAAGGCCAGCTGCAAGCTTACGTCCAGCTTCTCCCTCTGGAGGAAAAAAAAAAAGAAAGAATTTGAAACGACAGATCATCCTCACCCGACGGCGTTGTTCTAGTTGTTGGAGGTCAGAGTGCGCCATTGCTTTTGCTCGAACGATGCACTTGCGCATCTTCATTCTGAGTGTTTCGAGCAGCTTCAACTCATGCTTGAATGAAGCAGCTCATCATTGGCCCCTTGAACAAGTTGACGCTAAGCACATGAACAAAATTCTCAAACAAGTGATTTTCGTAAGCCAAGGTCCAGCAGGCTCAAGAGTACAGCCTCGATGCAGAGACGATTATCTGCATCTCTCAGTGGAGACGAGACGAGAGGCTCAGAAGGGGACGCACGTCAACCACCGTGAAAGAAAAAGAAAAAAAAACAATGTGCATGAGTGAGAGGTGGAGCGGCGCCTGGTGAGGTAGATCAACCCCCTGTCCACCTTCGATCAACCATTCAGCATTGAGTTACAGGCACCATACCCGACACCAGAAACGCATCAGACCTACCAGAGCAAATACACCACATCATACACAACACGGCCACTCACACCGCATCGTATCTCTTAATACACTAGTTCGTCGACGTGATTCGCTGGAGACATGTCACGGAGTACGAAGACAAACAAGGTCGGAGTATACGTGAGCTATACATTCCGCTACGCACCGGTTGCAGCGTTGGATACACGTTTTCTTGTCCAGCTTGCCATCCCTTGTCATCCCTTGTCACCCCTTGTCGTGATAATCAACACGCCCAGAACACCAGACACAGCACACCAGACACAGCAACCAGCCCACACCAGACCCCCACCACACCCACCTGGAAGCGATCGACCTCGGCCCCCTTGGAGTAGTTCCCCCGGTCGAACGCGGTCGCCACGTGCTCGGCCGTGTCGTTCTTGCAGGTCCGGTGCACAGCGGCGATGCCCTTGCACTGCCCATGCACTTCTCCGAACAGCCCGTGGCAGAGGCTCGGCCCCAGCATCAGGTACGACAAGGTGTCCATCTGGGGGGGG